TGTCATTCTACTATTTTTGGCTGTAGAACTTGCATGATAAACAAGTAGGCTACAAAACGTTCCAAGTGGGACAAATTATTCAATCTTTCAATGGCATCTCCTATACAAATCCTTGTTTTATTTCGGACTTTGTCACAAAGTATTTCGGAATCATAACGAGGTTTTTTTTTATTCGTAACGTTAGACATTTTTTAATCCGACACGTTTGTAGCTGCAGCTGTGGTAACTACAGCAGAGCTGGCAACCCGGATGCCGCAACACTACTGACTTTGTGATTGGTAGATAGGTGGAGGGTGGAGCATCAGACCAAAACACAACATGACAACATCAACATCAGTTGAGGGCTGCAACTTCACTTTTTAAATGACAATATCCTGGCCGTACTACTGATATAAGTATTTGAAATGAACATGATTTCTTAATGTCTAGTGACATATCAGGGCCATTTTATGATTAATTGAAATACATTTCTTACATACGGTTCCTTTAATTCACTCCCCGGAGTTCTGTACGCTAGCTTTTTTTATTTCAAATTTTAGAGAGAAGTCTATCATCTTGTATGTTATAATTGCAAAAATAATGACGGGTCTTCCTCTGGTCAGGCAAACAGATTGTGATTGGTTGAGCTAATGTTACTCTGTTTGGTAATGCTCAAACCAATGGAGCAAAGTCTAATAGAACCACAGGGTTGTTTGCCTCACTTATTTGTGAGTTTTTATGCAGTATCACTAAAAGAAACATCTACACATCCAATAAATGTGCTAGCTGGACCACAGAAAATTGAAGAGACATAAAATATTTTACAAAATGTATTTCTTATGTGTGAATGTTATATTAATGTCTTTTAATGCAATAATTGATTCATTTTTCATTCTAAAAACTGCTCAAGCTGATCTGATATCAGATTAACAGATTAACTTAGTCTCAGATCACAGATCACTGCTGTATATGAGACATTTGCACCATTGACCCTTTATTTATTGCATTATTTAAGAAGGCAACCAAAGTCTTGCTGTGTTAAATCTCTGATATAAATATTATATTATAAAATACCTTTATATCTTAATTTGCAGAATAATCATTTTTATTATTACATTTGCCACAGTGGATAATTTTAGCTGTTTAAGTCACCCAAGTAAGACATTTTGCAATCTTTATATTCATTAACATTATTGTGGTTTGAACAATCATTGATACAATTTCTACCATGAAATCAAATTCTACTCTAAAATGTTTTTTTTTTTTTTTTTTGCTTGATTATGTGCCAAAGTTAAATATTACAGTGTATAATATAGTTTAATATGTAGTAATAATATAAACATAAAACAAACAGATGTATTTTGTATCCTAGATATAATTGACTTATATGCAGTATATTATATAAACATATTTATAAATAAATGAGTAATGTATACACATACATATTTAGTGCTTTTTAGCATCAACGTTTTAGTCATGGTTATATTTCAGTATCACATCACATATTTAGATTTAAATAGACCTCTTACCTGTTAGTATTGATCTACCAATCAGTGAAGCCAATCCAGCGAATACAATAAATCGATACATCTTTCAAGAGTTTGCTAATGAAACTAAAGTGAGAAAAAACGACCTCTGAGAAGCAACCTAATGTGAATAATGCTTATTAATGACTGATCATCTTCTGATTGATTGATATGGAAACTGACGGAGGACTGATATGTTTTGACATCAGACTAAAACTGTTCTTAAACTCCACCCATATTATATACTTATATAACAGGTTATCAAATCTACTGTTAAAAATAACAACTAGTTTAACTTTTTAATTGTACTGATACAACAGATCACTTAAAATATCTGGCTGCATTGTTGTTGTGAATACATACCACCCTTCCCATTAATGAACCACTCCTTTACTGTAAGGAACAAGAAAGTGCCCTGTTGATACATGTTTGGAGATGCACGGCATAAAACATGATTATTATTATTTGTGCTTGTCTTGTAAGATATCTGATAAGGCTCAATAAAAAATAAAATAAAAATTAATAAGCATAACCAACATTAACAAATTGAACCCTATTGTAAAAATTGTTAATAAACAGTTCATATTTCCATCTGATTGTGTAGTTGGAGTGGAATGGAGAAACTATTTCTCCTGTTTATTTCCTGGCTTTGAGTGAATATGAATTCTTCTGATAGGTGTTTCTATTAAATTATGGTTCTGGGTCACGGGTGTTTGCTTGCATTCCATGTGTTAACCTGAAAGCATAAAAACAAGGCTTGTTTGAGATGAGCAAAATCTGCGCAGAACCGATCACCGGTGATCAGCGCGAGATGCATGCCGGTTAGAAATGTGTCCGAGTGCGGTCCGCCTTGCTCTGATGTCATGCTGACGTGAGTCAAAAAAGTCTCGCGACCGCAAGGCGCACGTGTCGGATTCTGCAGTCGCGCGCAGTTGCTCTCCACCGACTGCGCTGATCAAAAGCATGATGGGAAACGACTTGCTGACGACACAGCTTAATGCTCATTGGTTTAAACAACCGTGATGTATTGTTCTCTTTTAAAATGTTTGATTTTAAAACTCTGATATCATGTTTTATGTGTATAGATTATGTGTGGATATCCCCAAACTCTCTGACAGTGCGATCTATTGACTATAGTTTTACCGCAAATTAGTTAAAATATCCTGTAATCTATAGCGAGCGAGCGTGCATGCGAGACAGATGTGTTAAGCTCCTAACGGCGCGCTCCTAACCGCGCACGCGCACACGACAGAGAGGTGATTAAGCGAGCTTGCGTGTCTTTCGCAACACAACCCAGTGGACAGTTACACTGTATTGAGAGTGAGGAGTCACGTGCCGATTTGGGCGGGGTCTGAGCCGGTCGGCCATGATGGTAGGAGACGCTATCGGTTGCCAGGGGCAACGCCTTCAGAACTTCACTGAGGCGCGACTAAACATTCATCCAGAAATAGCGAAAGAGAGACAGCGCAGCTTAGTATTTGTTTACATTTTACATGTAACCGATACGCCGCAGTTTCTTTGGAAGATATGGAGAAGGAAGAGAAATGAAAGGGGTTCTATCGGGAGAGAGTAAATAACAATGCTAGCCAGCTTAGAGAAACTGCTTGTCAATAAACTGACAGCAGCAAAAGCGAGCAAAGCCTGCTTTCAAAAGCAACACATTTCAGCACAGTTCGCCTTTTATTTAACACAAACGAACGAAATTAATACTCTGTTAGAGTTGTTTCATTTGTCAGAGCAAGGCGGACCGCACTCGGACACATTTCTAACCGGCATGCATCTCGCGCTGATCACCGGTGATCGGTTCTGCGCAGATTTTGCTCATCTCAAACAAGCCTAGTGACTCATACAATATAAATATGCCATGCTGTTCTACAGAGAGAGATCAGACTATTTTTCTGTTAGTGCATGGATTTGATTATAAACAATTTCTCCCATTTAATTTGCATTGTTCTTAGATGGAATTTGCATATGATGAACTATTTATAGTTAATAATATGTATTATGTAAGAGTCTTTATAAAGCCGATAGCAAAGCATAAACGATCGGCCTTTTCCCACCAAGCACAATAAAAATAAAGATAACTACAATAGGCTAACTATAATGTATATTAGCATAGAAACCAATGCATGATAATGTTCTGTTTATTATAAGCGCGCTGCATTTTTTTGCCATCTGCCACTTTAAATGCTCGATCTCTTCAAAGCAGGATGGATTCTGATTGGCTGTCAATGTTAATTATTTTTTTTTTTTTATCATCTGGAAAGAATCGTTCTGAAAGTGATTCCCATGATATTGTTTCTCGGTGTCGATATTGTTGTAGTTGTGTTATGGACTCTGCACTCTTTTAAATTTAGAACGAGTTTTAAAACTAAATATTTATGCGTAGTTATCGTCCTTGTGTGAACGGGACACCTAAACATTCTTCTACCCCTAAAATATCTTTATATTAATCACAATTATATCATTTCAAGTTTGTATTGAAATGAGAATGAAATGGAGTTTATAGTTATTGCTCAGCTAAGCTTGATGCCTTTGCTGTCACATGACTGAGGGACTCTTGAGGTGTTATAGACCTAGGCTGCTGCCAAAGTCACATACTCTCTTGAGTAGGCACTCTTAGTGAGTAGTCTTTAGTAAAACTGCTAAAAAATAGAGTATGTTTTATATATAGTATGAGTGTGTGTAGTGTGAATGTAATCTGGGCACATTACAGCGTCATGTTGTCATAATCATGTGACCTACCAGCATCAGTTGTGTGCTTCACTGTCATTTATAAATCCTCTGGTGGTTAAATGCCATATAGAATTTAAAACAGATGAAAATGAAGCTTTGAGGGATGGATGTACAGTCTTACAATGGCATGCACTGTGTAAAGGTCCTAAGTAAGCCTCATTTCCATTCCTCTCAAAATGTATTTATTTATTTATTGATGTATATTCTACAGTAGTCTTTAGAATTCAGAGCATTTGGGATTAAATGTGATTGTAGTTTGAATTAAAAAAAAAATGTAGTTTGTATTTTGTGTGTTAGTAGTGGAATAGCTTTCATTTTGAAAACAAAAAGCATTCCTGTGTAACTTTTATTTTGAAAACCACGCAACCTGATGCTTGTTTTTTACCACCGACTTTAATTTTGAAAACAAGACAACAACAAAACGTTTCCCGTTTGTGCCTCCTCTCGTGTGCTTCTTGTTTGGCTAATGCTCCGTTTAAGCGAAGCAAACTACATTCTAAAAAGCTGTATTTTAATGCAATTTCGAAGATTTAAAAAAAGATATATCTTTAAGAATGTCCAAAAATGTTTGAAGTAAAGTCTTTTTCCGGTTCTCTTCCGGTTTCCACGTCTCGCGTTTGGCATAGGCACACGTTTACAGTTGCAGCTATTTCTGCTCAATTTCAGACAGTGTTATTCTCTACAATCTTTGTCGGGGTTTCAGCTAGTATCTGAAAGGTTAACAGATGCTAATAGTTAATAGTTACTTACTCAATCAGTTAAGTTGAAGATCCTCTCCTTTTATTATCTGTGTTAATATTTGGGTGATATTTCTGCACACATTTAGTGTGAAAATGTGGTGTTGGAGACACTTATAATGGAGAGAGATTTGCTCAGACAATCTGTATCGTATCATGGTGAAAACCTGTTGTCACTGTTAAAATGTGAACAGAATGAAAACCCAGACTTTAAACATGTGGCTGCTGATCTCACCAAAACTCTTAACCAAAGGTAAGAGTCGTTTCTGATCATTGTGCATGCTTCATTTGATCCCTATATCATGTTTGCGTTGAGACCCCAAGTCCCTATAAATAGCTCGTTAGGCTAACGTACTTAAAGAAATAGCTATTCTGTCCAAAATAATTGAATAATTATAATGCTCTTTAATCAATTAGCTACTCGACTGCATGTCGTTTCAAACATGAATGACATGTATTTTTTACTCCTGTGGAACGCGAATTGAGACATTTAACAGAACGTTCGTGTTGTTCTTTTCCGTACAATGAAAGTGAATGGAGACTAGAGCTTTATTATATTTAAAGCTGCAGTCTGTAACTTTTTTGTGTTAAAAATTATTCTAATAATTTTGTGCCAGTACATAACCAGCCAGTGTTCAAAACTATCTGCTTGCCTTAGCTCGATTCAAAACGGTAAGCTTGTAATAATGTTTTTAATTCCAGTGGTACTGGTGGATTTCCGCGGGAGATTCGAGCATGTCTTTGCGTCATTACGTCACATCTGTACACATAAAGAAGAGTCTCGGCTAGTAGGCTATATTGAGTCATTACGTCACATCTGTACACATAAAGAAGAGTATTGGCTAGTAGGCTATATTGAGTCATTACGTCACATCTGCACACATAAAGAAGAGTCTCGGCTAGTAGACTATATTGAGTCATTACGTCACATCTGCACACATAAAGAAGAGTCTTGGCTAGTAGGCTATATTGAGTCATTACGTCACATCTGTACACATAAAGAAGAGTATCGGCTAGTAGACTATATTGAGTCATTACGTCACATCTGTACACATAAAGAAGAGTCGCGGCTAGTAGACTATATTGAGTCATTACGTCACATCTGCACACATAAAGAAGAGTCGCGGCTAGTAGACTATATTGAGTCATTACGTCACATCTGCACACATAAAGAAGAGTCGCGGCTAGTAGGCTATATTGAGTCATTACGTCACATCTGTACACATAAAGAAGAGTCTCGGCTAGTAGGCTATATTGAGTCATTACGTCACATCTGTACACATAAAGAAGAGTCTCGGCTAGTAGACTATATTGAGTCATTACGTCACATCTGTACACATAAAGAAGAGTCTCGGCTAGTAGGCTATATTGAGCCATTACGTCACATCTGTACACATAAAGAAGAGTATCGGCTAGTAGGCTATATTGAGCCATTACGTCACATCTGTACACATAAAGAAGAGTATCGGCTAGTAGGCTATATTGAGTCATTACGTCACATCTGTACACATAAAGAAGAGTCTCAGCTAGTAGGCTATATTGAGTCATTACGTCACATCTGTACACATAAAGAAGAGTCTCGGCTAGTTGGCTATATTGAGTCATTACGTCACATCTGTACACATAAAGAAGAGTCTCGGCTAGTAGGCTATATTGAGCCATTACGTCACATCTGTACACATAAAGAAGAGTATCGGCTAGTAGGCTATATTGAGCCATTACGTCACATCTGTACACATAAAGAAGAGTATCGGCTAGTAGGCTATATTGAGTCATTACGTCACATCTGTACACATAAAGAAGAGTCTCAGCTAGTAGGCTATATTGAGTCATTACGTCACATCTGTACACATAAAGAAGAGTCTCGGCTAGTAGGCTATATTGAGCCATTACGTCACATCTGTACACATAAAGAAGAGTATCGGCTAGTAGGCTATATTGAGCCATTACGTCACATCTGTACACATAATGAAGAGTATCGGCTAGTAGGCTATATTGAGTCATTACGTCACATCTGTACACATAAAGAAGAGTCTCAGCTAGTAGGCTATATTGAGTCATTACGTCACATCTGTACACATAAAGAAGAGTATCGGCTAGTAGGCTATATTGAGTCATTACGTCACATCTGTACACATAAAGAAGAGTCTCAGCTAGTAGGCTATATTGAGTCATTACGTCACATCTGTACACATAAAGAAGAGTCTCGGCTAGTTGGCTATATTGAGTCATTACGTCACATCTGCACGCATAAAGAAGAGTCTCGGCTAGTAGGCTATATTGAGTCATTACGTCACATCTGTACACATAAAGAAGAGTCTCGGCTAGTAGGCTATATTGAGTCATTACGTCACATCTGCACACATAAAGAAGAGTCTCGGCTAGTAGACTATATTGAGTCATTACGTCACATCTGTACACATAAAGTAGAGTCTCGGCTAGTAGGCTATATTGAGTCATTACGTCACATATGTACACATAAAGAAGAGTCTCGGCTAGTAGACTATATTGAGTCATTACGTCACATCTGCACACATAAAGAAGAGTCGCGGCTAGTAGACTATATTGAGTCATTACGTCACATATGTACACATAAAGAAGAGTCTCAGCTAGTAGGCTATATTGAGTCATTACGTCACATCTGCACACATAAAGAAGAGTCTCGGCTAGTAGACTATATTGAGTCATTACGTCACATCTGTACACATAAAGAAGAGTCTCGGCTAGTAGACTATATTGAGTCATTACGTCACATCTGTACACATAAAGAAGAGTCTCGGCTAGTAGACTATATTGAGTCATTACATCACATCTGTACACATAAAGAAGAGTCTCGGCTAGTAGACTATATTGAGTCATTACGTCACATCTGCACACATAAAGAAGAGTCTCGGCTAGTAGACTATATTGAGTCATTACGTCACATCTGTACACATAAAGAAGAGTCTCGGCTAGTAGGCTATATTGAGCCATTACGTCACATCTGTACACATAAAGAAGAGTATCGGCTAGTAGACTATATTGAGTCATTACATCACATCTGTACACATAAAGAAGAGTCTCAGCTAGTAGGCTATATTGAGTCATTACGTCACATCTGTACACATAAAGAAGAGTCTCGGCTAGTAGGCTATATTGAGTCATTACGTCACATCTGTACACATAAAGAAGAGTCTCGGCTAGTAGGCTATATTGAGTCATTACGTCACATCTGTACACATAAAGAAGAGTCTCGGCTAGTAGGCTATATTGAGTCATTACGTCACATCTGTACACATAAAGAAGAGTCTCGGCTAGTAGACTATATTGAGTCATTACGTCACATCTGTACACATAAAGAAGAGTCTTGGCTAGTAGGCTATATTGAGTCATTACGTCACATCTGTACACATAAAGAAGAGTCTCGGCTAGTAGACTATATTGAGTCATTACGTCACATCTGTACACATAAAGAAGAGTCTCGGCTAGTAGGCTATATTGAGTCATTACGTCACATCTGTACACATAAAGAAGAGTCTCGGCTAGTAGACTATATTGAGTCATTACGTCACATCTGTACACATAAAGAAGAGTCTCGGCTAGTAGGCTATATTGAGTCATTAAGTCACATCTGTACACATAAAGAAGAGTCTTGGCTAGTAGACTATATTGAGTCATTACGTCACATCTGTACACATAAAGAAGAGTCTCGGCTAGTAGGCTATGTTGCGTGTGGATTTGTATAGCCTTTTCTCACAGCACTTGATATAATTAAACTTATTAATTTGATGGCGGATCTAGAAAGGTTCAAACAACAATCACCAGTGACAACTAGAGATTCACCCGTTGTAAAATGCAAAAGACTGCAACCGGCCCATGCGAAAACACGGATAAATATCTGAAGGGCTTTAAATGTAGTCACGCAATGCTAATGTTGTTAACATTAACAATTTGAGAACAAAGTAAAATTTGCACGGTTTGACGTGATATGATAAGCGATTGTTAGATTTAATCAGCGTGATTTACTGCAATGCTTTTTTTCAGTTAGTTGGTCAGAAGAAAAAAAGTGGATGTTACTCACTTGTTCAGACATTTTCCGGTGAAAACTCTTATGCTGGTCATACTTCCAAAAAGTAGAATCTGTGATTCTGAATGCCAGTATCCACACCGGCACGGTGACTGACAGCCGCACATTCTCCTCAAAACATTGGATACATCCGCGCTGTGCCGTGCCGAGGCACAACTCACCTAAAGTTGATAATTCCGCGAATGACTGCAATTGCAGATTTCAAACGGAGATGGCGACAAAGAGGAAAAACTGCGGACTGCAGCTTTAAAAGCAGCTTAAAAGTAGTCCATACGATATGACTTGTATTACTACAATATAAATCTTTTCTGCCACTTAAGAAAACATTGACATAAAAAGTCATAATTATGATATAGAAAGTCATAGTTTCGACTTTGTATCTCATAATTTCGACTTTTTAAGCTTTTAGTTATTACTTAAAGAGTTAGTTCATCTAAAAATGAAAACTATTGCATCATTTACTCACCCTCATATTGTTCCACAGCCGTAAGACTTTGGTTCTTTTTAAAAATGATTTTTTTAAATGAAATCTGAGAGGTTTCTGTCCCTCCATTTACAGCTACACAACAACCACTTTGAAGCTTCAAAAAGTTCATAAAGAGATTGTTCAGCGGTTTAGTAAAAAAAAATTAAAGACGGGATTGTTTTACATGACAAACAGATTCAATTTAGGCTTTTATTCACATTAATCAGTAAACATAAAAGCTCAACCGTACGTGCTTGACCTTATTGGTTCTTGAAGTTCAAACGTGCTGCGTAACACGAGAATGAACCTCATTGGCTCTTGCTGAAGCTCAAACGTGCTGCGTAACACGAGAATGAACCTCATTGGTTCTTGCTGAAGCTCAAACGTGCTGCGTAACACGAGAATGAACCTCATTGGTTCTTGCTGAAGATCAAACGTGCTGTGTAACACGAGACTGAACCTCATTGGCTCTTGCTGAAGCTCAAACGTGCTGCGTAACACGAGAATGAACCTCATTGGTTCTTGCTGAATCTCAAACGTGCTGCGTAACACGAGAATGAACCTCATTGGTTCTTGCTGAAGCTCAAACGTGCTGCGTAACACGAGAATGAACCTCATTGGTTCTTGCAGAAGATCAAACGTGCTGCGTAACACAAGAATGAACCTCATTGGTTCTTGCTGAAGATCAAACGTGCTGCGTAACACGAGAATGAACCTCATT